TTTTTTTTTTTTTTTTTTTTTTTTTTTTTTTTTTGTTATACTGCATTTTATTTATTTCATCTGTAAAATTATTTCTTAATTTAATATATTTTTTTTGTTCTTTTTTCTTTACTAAGTTTTTATAAATTTTTAGAAATATTTATCTTAAAAACAGAGTATATATTTGTTATAGAGATAATTTTTAAAATAATTTGTTGTTTTTTTATTTAGTGATAATTTCAAAAGTATTACGAGGCCGATTCGTTTTTTAAGAAATTAGATTTTCTAATGATATCTCTTCTTTATAAAAAAAGAAAAGGAAGTAATTTTTCATTCATTCATCTCGAATCCGAAAAGGATAATTGAATTATAATATATAGAAAGAGTTAAAAAGTATTTCAATTTATTTGGATATTGTTGATAAGAATTGAAATGATTTATGTTTAAAAACGTGCGCGTTTAAATTTTAATTAATTTATATTTATTCATATTTCTAAATATAGAATGAGAATATCGGAAATATCTGAAACAAATTTGAGCAAATGGTTGATAAAAATAAAACGTCCAATTATAATTCGCGACGTATATACCAACATATGTATTTACATATGTTACAATTATGTACATACAAGTGTTATTAAAAAGTGTAGACGGATTGAATTTATCAAATACGAATTAATTTTAATCGTGCTACTGTGGGTAATATTCTTAAATAAAAAAAAAAAGAAAAAAAATTATTGACATGCAAGAATACAACGAACTACTACTATCGATGTGTAAAGAATTCGTAATTTACGATTTACTTTACTAGGATAATTTCATTCTTATTAATTTCAATTCTTTAAGCATGCAAACTCGTTTTAAAACTCGGCATACTTCGAGTGCAATTTTTTCTTTTTTCTTTCCCCCCTCCCGTAGAAACGGAATTTGTCGTGAATTTATAATGACCTTAAAAAAAAGAAAAAAACAAATTGTTGACACGAAATCTCGCGTGTTTCGTAGCAAGGCAAAAGTGACGAATGGATGGTGATGATGGTATAATTGCTTTTATCTTAACAAGCCAAGGTTCCATCGAGGTAAATCATTTGAAAAAAGAAAAAGAAAAAGAACGAATAATTGAAATAAAAATGCAGAACAAATAAAAACTGGAAAATATAATGTACTACACCCTGTGTGCAGGCTACAATGGTTCTAGTTTGCATCCATACTGCAGTCCATCGTGCATATTATTTTTCTTCTTTTTTTTTTTTTATCATTTTTATATCATAAATAGAGAAAGAAAAATCGATTTTCTTTATAAAAAAAAACCCCCTATCCATGATAAATATAATATTTTCTTATAAGAAAAACTTTGAACTTGAATCTTTTCAAGAATAAATTGCAATATTTAACCTTGATACCAATGACAATGTTAAATCATTTTTAATTTTATTTGCTTCCTTTTTCTCTGGTTTTCTATTATTAAATTATCCCTGTCTTTTTCTTTTTTTTTTTTTTTAATATAAATTATATGTATATATATACTACATTCATTATCACAGCAGAACGATGAACTAGTCGAATGAATTTCTATACGCTGAAGAAGCGGGGTAAATTTGATTTAGACATTAGAGCAACATTGATGACGTACCAGCGACGTAGATGCTTGTGGCCCTTGAAGCATTTTAGCGCTGCGTCCATGACAGTCAACAACGTAATCATGAGTTGGTTGCACTGACCTCATCTTCGAGTATAATATTTTTTTATTTTTTCAAATTATTTTAAAATATATATATTTTTATATATATATATTTGTCGTTAAAAGATGGATTCAAATGATTTTCAGTATTATAGGAAAAATCCTATCCGTGTCTAACAATTGTCGCGATCTAACTGATAAAGATTCCGTTAGAAAATTTTAGAGAAGCCGAATATCTACGAACTAGTCTCCTGTTCTCTTACTCTATATATGTATTTGGAATATCGAAAATTGCAGCCATTTATGATCCCTTGTTAGTTGACTAATCACCGAACAAAAAGACTTAAGACCCGTTTTGCTTGCATACTCAATCTTTAACGAAACGAACAATATGTCTACCAATGCACCGGTCTTTGATTTATTATGTGTTGAAGAAGAAGCAGCATAATAACTCGCTAAGAGAAGTGTGTATGTATTCAACGATAAGTTTCATTCTCGGAGAAACAAATGCGTCAAAAAAGGAAAAAAAGATCAGATAACTTTGTAACCTATTGTGCATCGCTTTTTTTTCTGTTCTTTTTCCTATCCTATTTTTCTTTTGTAATTCTTTTTTTTTTCTTTTTCCTTTCCTTTTTTTCTCCCTCATATTCTAAACATATAGATCATGAAACCGGTATGGTGCGGATCTAACTAGAAATGTTATTAATTTTCAATCTTTAAAATGGGTAAAAGTCAAGTAAACGATTAATGCCAATTTTCTCCCCCCTTAACGCTAGGCAACCCATCGTACAAGCGTGTGAATGCATGCAACCAGCTCTTACCATTAGCACAATGCGACACATTGCAATGATCTATGATAACAATCGCGTACTTGTGATTTAATCTAATAAACAATAAGAAAGAAAAAAAAGAAATATCTCCGTTAATGAATTTTGTTGTAATATACGTGATAAGGGAAAAACATTATAAGAGATAAGAATAAAATGATTTTTGAAAATAACACACGATAAATAAAGAATCATTATAAAAAGTTTTAACAATCACAAATAGAATCATTTGACTTTTCGAATTGAGCATGATCCTAACAGGTGATATATGCTAATCGTAAATCGATATGCTGTACATAATTAAAAACATAAGCGTATGAAGCTTGAAAATACGATCACTTTGAACAGATAAAAAGAAAAGCATATTCTACGAAAAATTTGTTGTTAAATAAAATAGATTTGTAATTAATTAAAATATTTATGCGATAGATTGATGATTGGTGCTTTCGAATCCATAAACTTCATTCTCGTTTGCGACGAATGTTTCCCTTTTTTTTTTTATTTTTTAACTACCTACCGTCGTTAGAGAAAAATAAAATAAAAATAGTAATAGACATGAAATAAGTGGAAATAGGTCCGAAGAAGATATATCGATAAAGCTAATGGATAACGGTCACACAATAATGTTTATTGCATTTTTCTTTTGTGTTACATGTATGTATGTATTGACTCATTATTTTGTTTTTTTTTTTTTTAAAGGAAAATAAAAAGAAAAAATAATGAAACATAATGATTTTGCGAACGACGACAAGTCTGCCGCAGACAGTCTCCTGTAAGATTAGTCAAACTTTGAAATTTCATTATTGACACATTTACGATTAATGAACGTTTGCTGTAATTCACCTGTAAACATTTTATCTTATTTTGTTTTTTTTTTTTTTTTTGTTTTTTAAATTAAGATCATAATATTTTTGTACATTTTTTATAAATCGTAGTTACATGTAAGCCGAATTAATTTAACTACCAAAAAAGAAGTTTCTTTTTTTTCAACAACAATAATCGAATTTATATAATAAAAAATACAAACAAAAAAAAGAGATTAACGATTGTTAATAACAACAATAGAAAAAAACGACAAAGAACAGGATCAAAAGACAACAAAGTACGGAACTGATTCGATGAATTCTTTTTTTTTTTTTTTTTCTCTCGAACAAATTTCATACAATATTATCTTCGTATTCCCATACACCTGCTAAACCACCTGCTAATCAAAGAAAGATTATTACGATCTTGGAAAAATTGTATTTACAAACGAGACGAATTTAATTATGTCAACGTAACTAGAAAATATAAGATAAATAAAAATATATTGCAAGAAAAAATAGAGACGGAAGAAAAGAAGAACAAGAACAAGAATAAAAACAAGAACGAGAACGAGAAGAAGAAAAAGATATGTGAAAACGTAGAAAAATCGGAATAAAACGTGGGAACAAAATTTGTACGTGGTCAAATTTTCGCGGGGTTTTTAACGCGCTCTTGTTAGTTTCGAAAATGCCGCTAGAGGTCATTGGTAAGGAGAGAGAAAGAAAAAAGTTGAAAAAAGAGGGAAAGAGATAAAAGTTCGAAGGTCTCGTCGGCGCGAGAACAAATAGAGCGGGCTTTTCGTTCAAGTCCGCGCATGCGCATAAATTTATATATCCATTGAAAATAATCGATATTTCTCATGCGCATACGTAGTAAGAAGACGTCGTATATATTTACGTATTTATATAATATATATATGTGCTCTGTGAAATGAGCATGACGAGTTATTGAAGAATAACGGGAATGAAAAAGAAATATGATGGAGGAGGGTTAGGGGGAGGTGGAGAGAGGAGAGAGAAAAGAAAAGTGGAGACCAGATAAAAAATACACGCGTCGAAGAAAACGCATAATATTATTAAACATGCCGTATCGCGAAATTAAAAAATAAAAAAATGATAAAGAGAGAAGAAGAAGAAGAAGAAAGGAAAAAAACAAAAAAAAAAAAAAAGAAAATAAATTCCTCGTGAAAAGTAAAAATGAAATTTAATTATTAGAACGTGCGTCACGGAATTGTATAACAAAACGCTCGGGATAGTTCGGCTTAAATCGTTTCAGAATCGTGTATCGCGTGTTGCTTTCATGTATTCGTAAAAATAGAATTTACGATAAGTTAGCCGTACGAAATAAAACGTAAAAGGAAAGAAAGAGAGAGAGAGAGTGAGAGAGGAAGAGGAAGAGAGAACATACCGAGTTATTGTGTTTCTCTATCTGCTTGTATACGTTCGAGTTTTTAATCATTCTTTTTATCGACGATAGTACGAAAAGTCGGGGATAAAGATAATTCGTTATATTCTTGCCATAATTTTGTTGAAACCCGTTGAGACCGTTGTTATCATAATTATGAAAAGGTAATATTAGACTTGTAATAATGTTTGTTTATTTAAAAAAGAAAAGAAAAAAACAATCCGAAACCAATGAAGGTAAGATAAGAATAAAAACAAGCGTGAAAGATTCGCGCGTTGTTAAAAGTAAAAAACTAGAAGATGGTAAAATTAGGAATAGAAACGAAAGAAAGGAACGGATAAATTCAAAAATAGAAAATAAAAGTTAGTAATAGAAATGAAAAAGAAGTGGAAAAGATTATGCGTATTGGTGATATGTTTATATATGTAGGATATGTTAAAATAAAAGGATGTGCACATGTTGTACGGACTCGAGGATGCTGTATGAACATGAAACTACCACCGTTGCATCGTTGTTGTCGTCGTCGTTCATCGTTGTCGATGTTGTCGTTGTGTCAGTGGCCGAGTATCATGGAACTTTCCAGAGGTTTAGAGAGGAGAGGGAGAGAGAAAAAGAGAAAGAGAGAAAAAGAGAAAGAGGAACGAAGATGGAACGCTAGCGCCAGCCGTGAACCGATCAAGGATAAAGGGAGAAGGAGCAAAATCAAAACGAGAAATGCCGGGTGTGTTGCATATAATGTGTAAACTAAAATATATATATATATGTATAAATGTTTTCAAAAATCGTATATATTACCGTATGGAAAATAAATATGAAATTTTTCAATGAATGATTACAAGGGAAATAATAATAGGGAGTAAAGAAACAACAACCACTGTTACGATCGATTAACATTAGAAGTGAAGCATTGTGGACTAACGAAATGAAATGGAAAAAAGAAAAAAATAGAAATAAAAAGAGAAGAAAGGACATATCGTAGGGTAGCGTAAGCTTGGCTTACCTTCGTTTTTGCGAAGGGCACAAGGCACAGGGGCCATGGTTGCATGATCTGTCTCCTTTGCGTGTTAGACGGCATCGTGTTGTGCGTTGTAATGCCGGTTCTCTCTTTTTCAAGTATCAATCTGTCACCTTTGCACCGCCGTTGTGGCCTACAATCAAGGCTAAGTACCGGTGAACGTCGTTGATAGTTGTCTTCTTCTTTTTCTTTTTTTTAAAAGATTCCTTTATGATCCTCGTAGATTAATTAATCTACTGGTTTATTTTTTTTTAATGATATGGTTCTTATTCTTGTGATATGTATCCTGTCAAATAGCAGGTGCTACACGTAGAAGTAAATATAAGTAGAGGGATTGGGGTGGTTGGTACGTGCGCAGAAACTGGCAGGATGCCTCTGTCGGCCCAGGATATAACTACTTCCGTCGATTTTTTTTGTTGTTGTTTCTTCTCTTTTCTAACCTTGGCACGACAGAGTGTGCGCGTTTTACTCGACACACGTGGCTCTGTTATGACAACAGAAAATAATCATTTACTGTAACTACTGTGTGTCTCCTTGTAACTAGCAGCTGTTTGATGTCTTCCTTTCTATCGAAGAGTCCACTTTATTCTTGATTATAATCAAATTGTTGTGTGATCTCTGTACTCTATAATCACAGATGAATCTCAGGAATTTCTTTTGACGATTACGAGATTCTAATATATATATATATGTGTCACGTTTGATTGGTATATCACCGTTCAACCCTTGTGACGCGATTCCAGGAACGTCTAAAGTCTTAATGACGCCTCGTAGCTCCTATACCGTGGTAACTACCTCTTTTTACCACCACCACTAGAACCACCACCACCGCCGCCGCCACTACCACCGTTCGTTATAGTCGCCTTACAGCAACGGTTGCTTCCTTCCTCTATACTTTACTGACGTCTGCACACCTCTTCTCGACCAGCTGCCACTGCTGCTGTTGCTGTTATTATTCCTACGTTTGTTGCTTTTCTTCTTGAATTTTTCTTTATCTGTATTATCTTTCCTTTTCTTTTTCTTTTTCTTTTTCTTCTTCTCTTCAACTTCTTTAAGTTAATCTTCCCTTCTCCTCCTCCTCCTCTTCTTCGTTAAGATTAATTATTCTTCAATGAAATTCTTTGATGAATAAAAAAAAAATTAATTGAAATTATCGAATGTATACAAATTAAAAAAAAAAAAATATATATATATATATACGACTATTTATGATTTAATCGAATAAAAATATGATCCGATCAGTAATCTGTCGTACTTGTATATATTCAAATTTATCGTTGTGATGTCAAGGTAGTAGTATTATCGATGGTGAAAGGATACGCGTAGATGCACGTGTTAATACTCGTGGGTTTTTGGAAGGTTTGCTAATCAGATCGGGGGGTTTGTCTCTTTTATATAGACGCCGTTGCGGACGTAAGCACCGCCCACTTCTTTTCTCGGGGCGCGTTCCTGACCAAGTGGTGGGGATAGAACCAAGCCAGACGGCGACCCGACGTAGTCGGTGAGTCGCGTGAATTACCCGCGGATTGGAAACCGTCTTGTATTGTGTCGATTAGATGTTCCTTACACAGATATATGTGTATATGTGTGTATACAAATACATATATATATATGTATGCGACATTTATAAGTAACGTTTGATCCGATCAAAATCATTTTATCCAGTAAATTTGTCAATTATTCAAACGGTTACTATTTACAAAAAAGTTGCGTCACTGATCGAAACTCTCATATTTTCTTTAATCATTTTTATTTCTTTTTCTTATGAATTTGCATTATTTATATTATGATAATTTGTTGTTAAATGTGTTACAAGTTTTATATATATATATATGTATAGAAGAATTTTGTTATTTAACGGTTAAACGATTTTACGTTGGCATGCGCACCATATTCAAATTCTTATCCTTTTTCTTGTCCTTCTTTATGTTCCTTTCATCCCCACTCCTCATTCCTTAAACCATTCTATTTGAGTTTCAATGTATTCGGCTGACTATTTTTTAGTCTAGACGGGACTGTAAAAATACGTGCCCTTTGGCCGAAAGAAAAGGAAGAAGTAGATACGAATGAAATAAAAAAGAAGAAGAAGAAGAAGAAGAAAAGAAGAAAAAAAGAAAAGTGTATTATATGATCGCGTGCTATGGTTGGTTTATCTAATCGTGATGCAACTCCTATATCTATTTATCTATAAAGATATATTACATGAGATCTTTTTTCTTTTTTTTTTTGTTTTTTTTTTTTTTTTTTTTTTTTTACCTCGTACAGTTTTACTAGAAACTTCTATCATTAAATAAGGATGCATGAATGAAGTCTTGTTCTTTCCTTTTTTATTATTTTTTTTTTTTCTTTCTTTCCTTGATAAATCATATCTTCATTCATATATTTTTTTCCTTCTATTTTTATTTCTGAAATAGGAGAACTCAATTAAATTCGAAGTCTGTCATCATCGAAGTATGCATTTAATGAAGAATAAAAAAGTTAAAAAAAAATATTCCGAACTTTCGTTGACAATAATTTACGATTTTGTATCCAAATGATAACGGAGACAATTATTTCAGCGATACATCAAAAGATAAGCTTAAAATTAATATAATATATATATGTATAGACGTTCATTTGCCAAATCGATTAACATCACAAAATTCTGAATGTAAAAAAAAAACAAAAATTGATAAAGTCACAATACACCTCCATATAATTTATTATTATTCGACATTTAATATAAAAAAAAATCTTTGTTAAATGAAAAAGAAAGACAAATCCAGATAATGGGTGTTAAATATAATTCTACAAAATTCCAAAAGTTAAATCAATCATTTTGGTTTGTTTTAATGACTCGAGATATAAAAAAAAAAAAAAAAAAAAAAGAAAAAGCAAATTCTAAAAGAAAAAAAAAAGTCAAATATAAAAAGACGCGTCACAAAAATAAAAATAATAAAAATAAAAAAGAAAATTAATTTTCAATATATACAAAAAAAAAAGTGATTGAACATATTCCGGGGTAAAACAATTTTGGCGGTAAAATGAAAGAAGAAAATAGAATAAAAGTCATATTAATCTTTCTCTAATATGTAAACAGGTAATATATATATCCGAAAAGCGTATCGCGATTATGAGAAGAGACAAGTAAATCCATTTGAATGGTGACGATAGTAGCAGCAATACTTCGGATCTCCCATAGAAGGTTCGAGTCGTTCGACCTCGTTCGGCAACGCACTCGTCCGTATACAGTCGTCAGACTTGTCTTTCTCTTTCTCCATCCTTTTTCTTTCTTTCTCTCTTTCTCTCTCTTTCTCTCTTTTTAACATACACACATATAGAAACTTTCTGCACACACGCCTATCCGCACGTACGCCGCCTTCTTGGCATCTCTTTCTCCTGGAAGTCTTCTTATTACTACCGCTTCTTCTTTCTTCCGTATCTTTCTCCATTACAAACTTGCCTTAACTTCCCCAAGTTAATCCGGATGTTGGTGTGTTAGTAAATGCACTTTTCTGTATGGTGTATAAACCACACGTACATCCTTTACAATTCCTCGTGCACGTATAGTTATGCATGTACGTTACGTTACGTGCGTATTATATATGAATAGTCGGCAATCCCTTCAAAGGGTACTCAGATCTTTTGCCGAGCATGCATTCTCAATAGAAATAATATAATAATAATTGGATTGTATTCATATCAAATGAAATTTTATATTCGTCAAAATTTTCACCATGATTTCTCGATAATATCGATATCGAATATTATTACGAATTGATTGATTATTGAAAGAGCTGTTTTATTTGAATTAATGGGGGATATCTCATTATAATGAACAAATTATATCGTGACACGTGTGTATGTTTAATTATTATTATTATAACATAAATCTTGTTAATAGTAGAGAATGTGTTTATGTATCGTATCATGTCACGAGGTTTTTAAAGGAATCCATGATTACGAAATTTTTTTTGAAGGATATATATATATATATATGTAGTACTACGTTGTTCAAAATGTTATATACATATATAGATAGATCAAAAATAAAATACATGTATGTAGAGACGGGGCTTTGAGTTCATTTTGAGCGGGAATCATTTACTCATGACGTTTAAACTTGACGTTAAATATTTTTTAATCAGAGATATATATATATATACAACTCGATAAGATTAACTCTGACGCAAAAAGTTCAATTCAATTTTATACTTGACGTGTCCATACAATATTTATAATATATAGTTAATTCGACTGATTTGTTATTGAATTTAAGTCGCAAAATAACTAAATATATTTTTCAAAAAATACATATGATACATTTTGATATATTGAAACCATCCGTGAAATAAACATTAATGATATATCTGCATATATCTTCTTCTTCTTTTTTAATTTTTTTTTTTTTTTCTACATACGTACAATTGTATCAATTCGCAATAGTATACCATTTCATGGTAAAAAAAAAAAAGATATGCAACTACAAGCATTTATGGTAGTCGTGTAAGGTCATATCAAATTTACAATATAATCGCATCTTGTTACCTACCGATTACCACACGTTGAGTCTTAATTTGATTTATATAACTTAAGAAAAATAAACATTTCTTGTTTATCGCGTTCGATCACGCATCTATCTAACATTCAAAAATTCATGTAAACAAAATCCTAAACTAACCACATTATATTATTTTATATAATTATGTACACAACATGCAACAACAAGGTTCAAACAAACATATAAATCATACGAATTACAATCAGTTTGATCGCAGTTTTTATTTTTCTCATTTGAATATTATTTTTCTTCACTTCACATTTTGTTTATCAATTTTTAATATTTTTCGATCGTTCAAGATTAATTACTTTCTTTTCTACGCAATAGTAATAGATAATAATATTACGAGAAACACATTCCAATGCATCATCATCGATTGTCATTTTATACAATACATACATATGTATTATATGTCAATGAGAAAAAAAAAGAGAGAGAGAAAAAAATATGTTTAACGTTTGTCGCGTTCATAAGAATAACTCTAACGTTGTTATACTAGTTCCATATATAAATTGTATATTTTGTATTATTTCTTTTTTTTTTCTTTTACATACACAAAAACCTACACGCATAATTATATATATTCATATATGTTGAAAGGTAAAGATTTCGGTAAAATTTATCTATGTTAATTATTATATACATCCGATTATGATAAAAGGCACAGGACTCTGTTTCTTAATAACACTGATAACAACGTTTGTTGTGTGCTATGCAAATGATTATGAGTAGGAAAAAGAGAAGAATGAAGATTAAAAGAGAAAGATCGTATTGTTAGAATTTAATTGTCATGAGGTTTTTTTTTTTCTAGAAGATTCAAGAATAACGAATTATTTAATATTTCTATACAAATGAAATAATTCTTATATTTTCTAATCGTAATTATAAAAACGAAATTCCTTCTCCTCTCTTTCTCTCTCTCTCTCTCTCTCTCTCTTAATCGTTACCGGTTTTGCATTATTGTTGCACATGCAAAATGTCGCAGGAAGGTATAGCGTTACCTATGTATGCGCGTAAAAATACCTACACATATACACCATATATACAAACGTGTTATATATCAACTTTGAATATTAAACGAATGGCTGACTTCGTTTATAGTATTTTTCCATCAACCTCCGTAATTATCATATGATTATGCTGTGAGGCATAACTAACATTTAAAGTCGACTCAAGTGAATAAGTATAAAGTACGTAAATGCATATATAATTAAATTAAAACGCTGGCGAGAAGATAATCAGATATATTCTGATAGTTTTTAAACGATTAAAATCAGTCAACAGAAAAGAATTTTTTTTTTTTTTTAAAAAGTGCGAATGGATTTTGGAAAAGTGCGCATTTCTTGACTTTTGTTATTCTTAAAATTACGTTACAACGATTAAAATCAGTCAACAACAAATAATTTCTTCGATTTGTTATTTGTTAAAAAACGTAAACTTTTCAAAAAAAAAGTGCGAATGGATTCTGATCATTATTTTTAATTTCTTGACTTTTCTTATTTTTAAAATTACGTTAAGATAATTCGTAGAATGATTATTGATAATTTAAAATGATCAATGTAAAGTGTCTGATGAAATGGTAACGATAATTCTTATCATAAAAGTAATTATTGTCCTTGGTTCATTAATGTTAACGTATTTAACGTAACTTACGTAGAATATTACGTATATATGTGATACGAGTTATCGTGATTAATAGAAATGATACAATTTCGATAATACATGAGTAGATATGTCATTGTAATGGATCAAGTTTTATTTATTAATCTTTTTATTTGTTTACTAACTCAATTGTGTGTACTTTTATTAT